TTTTAAGTTCATCAACATCAGTTTTGATTCTAGTTGATTTGTTCCTAGCTTAGTCAAGAGACGGTATGATCTCTAATGGGTCTGCTCTTACCTTTTGTAATGCTTTCAAAGTGTTTTAGTATGCATACAATTATTGCAGCATGCTATTATTGACTTTCTGCAGGTTATCTGCAGATATTAACAATTCATGTTTTTGAGTAGTGATAAGAAATAATTTTTTACAAGTCACAATTAAAATAGGTTATAGTTAATATAACAACGGACTGATAAGTAGGTAAACAAAAAAAATAACAATATAGTTTGCGGTACGTCACAATCTGTACTATATATGCCGTGGTATACGTCAAGGAATCATAGTAAAGGAGCAAATTACAAGTAGTAGAATTTTAGTAATTATATTGTAAGCAATAAAATTATTTTATGTTTAATATAACAGAAGCTTATTACCTTTAATTACCTAAAAAAACTCGCCAAAGCTAATGCTTCAGCAAAAACTGACCCTGGCTTCGGCCAAAACTGAAGCTTCGGCAAAAGTGCCGAAGGGATATTTTAGGGATGCACCGAAGGGATACTTTAGGGATGCACCTTCAGCAAAAGTGCCGAAGAAATATTTTAGGGATGTACCGAAGCCGAAGCATCGGTACATCCCTAATCTAGATATACAAAGGTGTCTTCTAATTTGTATTCTTGAATAAACTTATCCATGATTCTTTGAAATTGTACAACAGCATTGGTGAGGCCAAAAGGAATTCTTTAAAATTGGAAAAGATGTCCATTGGACTCAAACGCAGTATAGTACTTATCATTTTATAGGAGGGGTATTTGGTGATAGGCACTTTTTAAATCAAATGTGCTAAATAATGAAAATTTTGCAACAGAGTTAACTAATTCATTGATGTTAGGTAAAGAATAAGCATCAAGCGATTTATTGTTTGAGTAATCAATGACCATGCCTTTTTTATGTCTCTCATTCCTGGTAACAACTATTTGTGATCGCCAAGGAGAGTTACTGGTTAAACTATATCTGGTTCCAAAAGTTTTTTAGTTTCTTGTTCAATGAATGTTTTATCTTTTGAGTTATATTGTCCAGAAGGTAAAGCAATCGGTCTACATTCTGTTGATAGAAAAGGAAAATGAGTGCTAGCTTTCATTGTATTACTATATAGAGAACAGATTTTTAAAGAATCGTTTTTACCACCATAATTAATATAAAGACTTTTGTGTAACTGTAGGAAATCTCTACCAAGAATGATTTGTTCACAAGAGTTGAATATAATCAAAAGGTTAATATTAGAGAACTTCATACCAAATAAAGTGAAGTTAGTTGAAACTTTAATTATAACTTGACAAGATAAGGTAGGATCAGCTATAGAGACTCTTATTAGAATGGAGTGTATTAAGTTTTAAAGAATCACATAATGATTTGCTTATAAATGTGTCAGATTTTCCAGTGTCGAAAAGAGCTCTTACTTTGGCCTAAAGCTTCCAATAGCGGTAGTACCGGTACCGGAATACCGGTATTACCGGACATTTTTAAGTACCGAAATACCGGTATTGGTTTGGCTCAATACCGGATTAAAAATATATGTAGAGGGCTTATGATATAGCAGGTGCTATCGCCCTCTTTACGTGAAACACTAAAGTAAATGAAATACTTAAAACTTTCAACAACGCTTCCGGTAGGAAAAAGATAGCTAGATGAGAAAAGACGTGTTTAAATTGTCTAAAACAAGTATTCTACGTACTTTATACTTAATATCTAGTTGCCAGCTCATTTGCCACTAGGTTTGGTAGGAAATGAGCTAGCAACTAGCCAGCGAACAGCTTGCGTTTAAGACGTATAAAATACGTAGAATACTTGTTTTAGACGATTTAAACACGTCTTTTGTCATCTAGCTATCTTTTTCTTACCGGAAGCGTTGTTTGATCGTGACTAGAAGTTTTAAGTATTCTATTTACTTTCGTGTTTTCATTAAACAATGAAGCACCAATTTAAAATATTATCATTACGTCACTCGCTTTAATGTAGAACGCATGTTTGAATTTTGCACTAACGTAAATATGAAAAGTTTCGATAATGTAGAAAGTGGGGCGTTTAAGTAACTGTGATCAACAGTTGTGCATTAGGCATGGGATTCAACTAGGTATTCATGATATTTTGTACAAAAAAATCGTCTATTTCTGCAAAAAAAACTTGAAAGTAATATGCAATAACAGAGAGAGTGACGAGGAAATACTGATGACACAAACATAACCAATAATGATGAAGACTTTTCCGGCGGGTTTCAAGTTGTAATGAGTGAAGAGAATGACTCTATTGAACTGACTGATGATTTGCAGCCGTTAATCAAAAAGGTGCGCACCGTTGTGAAATTTTTATTTCGCCGTTCTCCGACAAAAAATGATCAAAATTCAAAAACGCACCTTAGAAAAATTTGATAAAGATATTCCACTAATACTTGGATCCAAAACTAGCTGGATTAGCTTGCAAACAGTACTCGAACGTTTTGTATAATTGAAAAAAGGCATTCACGAGTCACTTTTTGCCCTTGAGTCTGAAGTTGAGGTAACTAATAATGAGTCCGATGCAATATTAGCTGTTAACTTATGTCTTGCGCCAGTAAAACTGGCTGTGGAAACATTGTGCCAAAATCATGCAACTCTGTTGTGTGCCGATACAACATTTTCATGATAAACTTTGAGAAATCGATTTACCTTTGAGAAATCGATTTAGCTGTAAAGTTATGTTGGTGCAACATTTCAATGAGCAACGTACTCTTTTTCCAGCATACAACATATATATTAATATACATGCATATATATATATATATATATATATATATATATATATATATATATATATATATATATATATATATATATATATATATATATATATATATATATATATATATATATATATATATATATATATATATATATATATATATATATATATATATATATATATATATATATATATATATATATATATATATATATATATATATACATATATATATATATATATACATATATATATAATATATATATATATATAATATATATATATATATATATATATATATATATATATATATATATATATATATATATATATATATATATATATATATATATATATATATACAGCAGACATGACATTTCTTTGATGATTTGCATACTTTGTTGGCTTTATATATTATATATATACATATACATACATATATACATATTATATATATATATATATATATATATATATATATATATATATATATATTTATAATATACTATAATTTATATATAATATGTATATATATATATATATAATATATGATATATATATATATATATATATCTATATATATATATATATATTAATATATAGATATATATATATATACTATATATATGATATATATATATATATTATATATATATATATATCATATATATATATATATTTATATATATATATATATAGTTATATATATATAGTATATGTATATATATATATGTATAGATATATATATATATTTATATATATATATATATATATATATATCTATATATATTATATATATATATATATATATGTATATATATATATAATGATATATGTATATATAATATATATATAATATATATATATATATATATATATATATATATATATATCTATATATATAGATATATATATATATGTATATATATATATATATATATATATATATATATATATATATATATATATAAATCTATATACTATTCATTCAGTATGTATGTATTTATATAATATAGATACATAAATACATTTGCATATAAAAATTGTATTAATTCAATCCTTGATATGACTGGTTTTCACAATTTATTTAAATTAAACAAATTACCTTTAAAAAAATTAAATTCTTTGTCAATGTAGGATACATCAAATATTTATAATATACATAAATATAAATATATATCATAGTAAATATAATACACATAGATAAAGATGTATATAAATGTTTACTGTCTTCTAAAAATACCATGTTTTGGAAACCCAAATTGATTCAATGAAAATATATTTTAAATATTTAGAGTATATATTTTATTTGTCAATATAACTTCACAATAAAACAGCTGCTTATCATTGAATTTCCAGATCTCTCGATTAACAGGATACTAGTAAATTGTTAATAGACTTGAGTCATTAGTCTAATAACTTTATCATTCAGAATATATAAGTTAACATAATGAATTTCAGATTTCAGTTATTAAACATTTAAATATTAACAAATTTTTATTTTAACTTTTTGCCTCAACCTACATTACTTTTTCAACAGAAGTTTGGCTTCAAAAAATTTTCTAAAATTATTAGACTGGGTATACCTAAACAAATCCAGTAATTTATATATCTATGTTAGGGACAGTTGCTTTGTGGGTACTTCTTTAATTTAAATTATTTTGCTTATTGTTTTATATAAAATTAAAGGAAACCTGACCATCTTGAACAAGCATGCAGAAAATCAAATTTTTTTAATATATCAATGTTAATTTGTAAAATATTACAAAAGTTAAAAAATAAAACACTTAAAAAGGTTTTATTATAACAATTTAAATAGTACTTAATAATTATTCAAATGTGTTTTTTGGTAAAGTTTGTTCACAAAATTAAATTAAATAAAAACTAAAAATCTAGACACAAAAAATTTACATAAAAAGTAAAACAAAACAAAAAAAAAGACTTTGATATGGCAGTATTAAAAAAGAAACATTTTTTCCTTTTTCATTTCCCATGTTGCTAAAGCGTTTTAATTAATTGTATGAAATTCATAATTAAATTATAATAAAAGTTAACAATTATAAACAAACAAACAAAAAATGTAATTACATATTTATTATAAAAATAAAAAAAAGCACACACAGAAAAATAAAAATAAAAGAAGTTTGAACTATTTAAAAGATCTTATTTATACATTATATCACATGTTTTATGTAATAAAAAAAAAATTTACCTGAAATGCTATATGGTGGTATTAACATGCTATCTGGATCTTGTAAAATAGAAAGTATACCATTGCTGGCTGAATTAGGATTAAAATCAAAAATTAATTTCCAATTAATTTGCTTTACCCAATCAAAATCTGAAAAATCTGACATTTTGCAGCATTCATCAGTACAATAACTATTTATGAGAAGAAAGTATGTGCATTTATCATCTGGAATTTTGTACTCTCCTTTGCATAACATATTCTTGAGCTTCTGTTGCATATCAACTGGGTTTATGTTTTTGTAAGACTCAATGTCTCTTCTATTGTCAGCTAAAAACTTTGATTGGGTACTAATAAAATGTTTTTCATCTTTGCTACGAGGTTTAAGAGGAACACTTGCGGAACCTTCTCTTATGAAATATACTCCATCTTTATACTTAATGGAGTTAATTTTAAACTTTAGGAATTTGCAAATAGAACATTTTGGTTCAATATCAATCTCAATGACAACACGATCTGAATCTATTAATGGAACAAATCGTATAGAGCTCATGCATCTTGAAAAAGCACTTTTTTCTTCTCGAGAACATTTTTGAAGACTTTGTGGGTTCTTTCTAAAATGCTTTTCTATCCATTCTTCATATTTGCAAATAGTAACCACAGAAGTGTTCACACCTTTTATTTCTCCATGTACATATTTTTCATCTTTGCCATCTGAAATACCAAAGTAGATTGTACCATCATATCTGGAATTCATGCAAGCTGCAGCAAAAGTACCAAGCCTACGTATAAATGCAAGTTCCACATTTTCATTTTGGTTAGGATTATCTGAAAAAAATTAATTCATTTTTTAATTAATTGTAATTTAAAAACAGTTAACTTGGTTTTTGAAAATATAATGAGAGAGACAGAACCATTAGGAATTTTTTTTTTTTTTTTTTGAACAAACTTAACTCCAACAAAGATGCATAGAACAACTATTTATAGTTCCATTTATTAATAGGTAAAGAAAAAATTGAAAAATATATAACTTTATATGTTTCTATTATTTATTATTTATATATATAAAAGTATAAAAAATTGTCTTACCTTATTAACTCCTGATAAAATATGTATATTATATATATATATATATATATATATATATATATATATATATATATATATATATATATATATATATATATATATATATATATATATATATATACATATATATATATATTATATATATAATATATATATATAATATATATATATATATATATATATATATATATATATATATATATATATATATATATATATATATATATACATAAACAACTCTCGGAATAAGTGTCAGCATTCAGCAATGCTGATCTAACTGCCAACCTAAGAGTTTGAGGCAAATTATTGCCGACCTAAAAAATTGAGGTCGGCAATAATTTGCCGACCCCATTTTTCCTTATTTCCAGGGTTGCATTTATATATATATATATATATATATATATATAGTATATATATATATATATATATATATATATATATATATATATATATATATATATATATATATATATATATATATTATATATATATATATATATATATATACATATATATATATTAGAGTTGCCCAGTATATAGTATAAAGTGTCAAAATGTCGTGAAGTGAAGTTTTTCCCATTAAACTATCAGAGAATTTTAAAAAAATAGAAGTAGGAGATATTAAGTTCTTTTTAACAGCAGTTTTATATTCAACTTAAAATGCTTTAAAAACCCTTGTTATTAAGTATGTTAAAAAAAACAACAAGCATATATATATATATATATATATATATATATATATATATATATATAGTTATATATATATATATATATATATATATATATATATATATATATATATATATATATATATATATATCAGGCCTTGGAATGAAGCAGGAGCAATTGCTTCCATCAGGTGAAACACGCTTGTTAATGGAATATTAAAAAATTGTGAGCATGATAAACAAAACGCTTGCTAATTTAGTTACAAAAGTAAAAAATCGCGCTCGTCCTAAAAATTTGGGAGAGAAAAAACTATTAATGGTTATATTAAATTTTTTTTTATAAAAAGTTTTTGTTAAAGATTTTTGGTTAATTAAACGAAAAAGTTCTCTTATTGTTAAAAACAAAATAATCTCTATTCAAATATCTTTAATTGAGTTTTTTCAACTTAGGTAAAATGTTATAGATATACTTTTTAAAGTTATACCAATTAAAAAACTCATTTTTTCATGTAAACTTACGTCATTCTGTTGAAATTAGAGCGCAAATTTCTATGAACAATGAATGGTGATTTGTGAATGAGACTTCTTTATACAAAACGTTTACAGCAAACATTTAACGAAATTAAATTAAATTTTATTTATTAATATAAGTTTGTTAATAATATTAAATTGTGTAATAAATACAAATTAATTATGATATTAATTATAAGAAACGATTGCTAATTTAATTTTCTAAAAGCATTTGCTAAAAACCATATGTAAAATAATAAATTTTTTTTAATTAACTTAAAAAATATTTCTAAAAACGTTGTTTTTAACAGAATAGTTTGCTTATTGTTAAAAACAAAATAATCACTATTCACCTATTTTTAATTGCGTTTTGGCAGTAGAAGTAAAACATTTAAAAAAACTTATTTTCTAAATATTAACCTACTTCATTCGGTAAATTAGAGCATTAAAAAGCTTTTGATATTAAAATTATAACTTATATTATTTAAAACTAAATTAAAATTATAAATTTATTTAAGAAAAAGAAAAGTTTAAGTTTGTGAAAACGTTTGCTAAAAAAGTTATAAAAGTTCTATTAGCGTTAATGAAAAGAAATCGTTGTTTCATTGTTTTAATGTTTTAATGATGCAAAAACATTACGAATTTATATTTTAATTGAACAAATTAAACAATGAAAAAAATGAAAGCTTTTGAACCTCTTTCAAATAAATTTGATGTAATAATAAAAAATAATTGACTGTAATATTAAGTTAAAGATGAAGACAATAACAAAGAAAATACATAAAAGATAAATTTATACTTTAAAACAAGATCATTAAGAACTAGGTGGGAAATAAATACAATCAGATGCAATCAAATAATATATTAGTAAATAGAAAGGAGGAAAAAAAGTTAAACTTTATTTAACTTTATATGTTTCTTTTGTTTATTATTTATATATATAAATTAATAATTATATATTAAAATTGTCTTACCCTATTTACTATTTACTCTTAATAAAATATATATATTTAAAAAATAAACATTTTTAAATATATATATAAATGTTTATTTTTATATATATATATAAAAATGCCTTTTCTGGGAAGGCTTGATATATATCTATATCTATATATATATATTAATATATAAATATATATATATATCTATATATATATATATATATAATATATATATATATATATATCAAGCCTTCCCAGAAAAGGCGTGCGGTTTTTCGTTTCGTATGACCACACGCGATTATAATATTTTAGAAAACGTGAACACGGCCGTTTGCAAGTTTTATAATAATGCTCAAAAAGTTTCAAAAACAAAAAACACAAAACTAAAAAAAGAAAAAGAGATTGAAACAGAAAAAAATAAAAACCAAAATAATAATTGATAATAATTTGTGTACTGTTTTTATTTTTGTTTCTTTAGAGTTCTTTATAGTTAATATATATATATATATATATATATATATGTATATATATATATATATATTTATATGTATATATATATATATAATATATATATATTTATATATTATATGTGTATATATATTACATATATATATATATATATATATATATATATATATTATATATAATACATATATATATATATATATATATATATATATATATATATATATATATATATATCTATATATATATATATATATATATATATATATATATATATATCAGGCTTGGTTGGGAAGCGGGTGCGATCGCACTCGATAATTGACCACAGAAATAATATTTAGTTGCGAAAAACCGGCCAGATTTTTTAGTCGTTTTGAGAACATTTTAAAAACAAACAAAAAAGCGCAATAAGATTAACTGGACCGATGAGAGACAGTTAAAAAAAGAAATATAGTTTTTTAACGCGAAAAAACTTTACGCAAAATAAAGACGATTAGAGCAATTATTTTTGAAACGTCGCTCTTTTATAATTTATAAAACAAACAAAAAAGCGCAATAAGATTAACTGGACCGATGAGAGACAGTTAAAAAAAGAAAAATAGCTTTTAACGCGAAAAAACTTTAAGCAAAATAAAGACGATTAGAGCAATTATTTTTGAAACGTCGCTCTTTTAAAATTTTTTTTTTTTAAATTAAGCGACACTTTCTCTATAAAGTAACAACTTATAAAGAAACAAGTGTTCTTCGATTTATCAAAGAGTATATATAATTTTTATTTTCATACTTATGTCTTATTTCCAGTTGCGGATTGAGGAGATGGGGTGGGGGTAGTGGAGCTAAAGCCCCGGGACTCACAATGTCAGGGGAAATAGTCAAGAGGACCATTCGGTATTTATTTTAGTCATTTTTACGCTGTGGCACATAAAAAAGGCCGCCAAAATAATGCAGCCCCCGGCCCTAAAAAGTCCAACAAGATTTAACCAATAAAACTAACGCTAGATGATTTATTTATAAATAAAAAGTTTTTTCAATAACTGTTTTATGCTTCGCGTAGTTTAAAAAGTTTAACACATTTTAAACAATTCTTCTTAGTAAGATGAACAAATGAAATAATTAAATCATTGAGTTAATGTAGAAATTCAATTAGCTAGATAGAAATTAACTAAAAACGTTAAATTACTTTGTGAGGAGGAAGCGGAACTGCTTCACAATAACGCTGATGATGTTTAGTGAGTGGGCTTTATAATTTTAATTAGTTTTTAAAACAGAAAAAAGTAACTTTAAGTATACCGAGTTTGTAAGAATGGCTGAAGCAAAAATAATTGAAGTTAGTAAATCAATTTCTAAGAACTTAAAAATTTTTATTTTTTTGGGGGAAAGAATCAGTTATTGGGTACACTAAGGAAAATGGATTAGTGATTAACCCTTAAAGGTCGGCGGGGTATTTTACTACCCCAGA